GAGTCCTTGAAAGGGCTTGGAGTTCCTCCATCTTGTTGGCCAGTGATCTCACATCGCCCATTATGATCGATGGAAGAGATGGTTTGAATTTCCTCTTTCTCTGTCTCCATTTTGCTCCCGCTCTGCACCCAGGCTTCTTGCGTTTTAGCTCATTTGGGATTTGTGGCTTTAGTTGAGGTATTATTTCAGCCTTTCCCATGTTAATCAGCTGCTCCCGATTGTAAACCAGCTTGTTGCCATGGTTACGCATCATAACAAATGCTCAAAAAGCGAAAAAAGCTAAAAAAAATAGCAGTAAAAATCCTCCAAGCTTCACAGCACCAGAAACTGAAAAGTAAAGTGTCCAAAAAAATACAGTTTTTCCTGAGAAACTAGAAGAAAAAATGCCCAAGAAAAGGCTAAACTTACATATAGTCAACAGAGCTACTCCAACATGCAGCCACCCAGAGCAGCGCAGTTCCGGAAGTAAAACTACACCAAAGTAGAAGTAGAAATTACTGTTGTTTACAACATGACATTTCAGCATTTTTAACAGCGTTCTCGTCTTTTCCGACAGTGCGAGCTATTTCTCTCCAAGAATTATTAACAACATGTTGATCACGGTGATCTCTGAGAGCTGAATCATACAAATGTCTGTATTTACGAACCTCTGCCATACTAGTTCTTGCCGGTCCGCCATGTTTTTCCGCGTCCGACCGTCCGCGGGGTTAAAAAATTTCCTAGGTGCGCGGTGCGAAAAGTTTGGGCCGTGCGGAGGCGCGGTGGAGGGGCGTGGTTGTTAAAATGACGCAATTTTGCCGGGTGGAGTTGTGCGAACCTCGCGTACGCGTCAAGCATAAACCAAGCTTAAAGCACAGTATCATACCCTGTTATATAAAGTCATCTTCTATTGTTGTATTGTACCAACACCTGTGGAATCATGTTGTTATCATAATGTTTCTGATCAAATCTCATCTTGTTTCAACACATTCTATTGAGACTTGACTATTATTATTATTCTGAGCTACTACAGCAATCAATTTCCCTCTGGGATTAATAAAGTATTTTTGAATTGAATTGAATTGAATTCCTACCATTTCATTGGTTGTTCAGTTTAAATCCTGAATTCTAAAACACAACTGAACATGACCATAAGGAAGCAAGCAGCAGCTGTGCAAAAGCTAGAAACTCTGAAAGGCGGGATCAGCAGCATGTGTGTGTGTCGGTGGGAGGAGTGTGTGAGGGCAAAGCCCTGTGGTGACCTATGACCCCCAGCCAAAGCGAGGGGAAGTAGGGGGTTACTGGAGGCAGAATAGATATGAATGGGTATGAATGGAAGAACTTGACTTGTGGGGCCAAAAGGGGACTATTGTACCTTAAACCTATTCAGTTTCACACTGAAGCTGCTTGTGTGTGTGCACGTGTGTGTGTGCGTGTTTTCGTTTGAGCGAATCCAGCCTGGACATGGACTCATGGACAGGTGAGACAGTCACTCATGGGAATGTCTTACTTTCCAACGTCTCGTGTAAACTACGTTCAGCATGTTTGAAGGAAAATGGTGCAGAAATCACTAGTCACTCCACAATCTGTAAAGCATGAAGGACTAGTTTCAGTGGCATTTACTCAGAATGCCACATTGACCTCTCACCCCTTTGTGCATCCACTGTGACATGCAGCAGCTTACCAAATAAAGCAAGCTGGGAGTGAGCAAGAGATAGAGGACAGAGGAGAGCAAGGAGGAAATCTCAGCCATTGAACCACAGCTCCGCTCAGTACCTCCAAAACTTTGATCTTTGGACACAAACAGGCATGCACACATGCACACACACACACACGCACAAACACACATTTAACTGGCGGCTCGAACTGTGAGGTCAAACTGAATAGGTGCCAACTCCAATTCTTCCCAGTTCTGAGATTTAACAATTTCAACTGTTTCCGGCGTTGTTGAAAAGTGGCTAAAGGCATGCTGAGATGGTGACAGAGAGCAAGACAGAAGAAGCGGAGAGGAGAGGAAAAAAGCAGAAAGAAGGGAACAATGAGGACTCATTGTTTGTTTTGTTCAGCTCTGAAAAAGAGGGAAGAGAAACGCTTCCCTTCTGAGACTGAATCGCAGAGATAGAGGCAGCCGTGTGTGTGTGTGTGTGTGTGTGTGTGTGTGTGTGTGTGTGTGTGTGTGTGTGTGTGTGTGTGTGTGTGTGTGTGTGTGTGTGTGTGTGTGTGTGTGTGTGTGTGTGTGTGTGTGTGTCCAACACTGAAAAGGATTTAACCCGTCACGGCAATGAGTTTCTTTACCCATCCATGGATACAATGAGACCAGCCGGATATCAAGCTACCCACCCTCCTACACACACACACACACACACACACACACACACACACACACACACACACACACACACACACACACACACACACACACGAATAGACAACATTGATTATAACGAGTCAAAGCTTTGCTCTTTCTGCTTAAACGATACATCCTGTTACCCTCTTTGGTGTCTTTCTGGTTGCCTTTTGGGTTTTCTTTAGTGTCAAGCTCTTGGTCAGTCTTTCAGAGTGTGTTTGTGCATGTATGGACATGTGTGTGTGCATGTGTGTATATCTCTGTGTGTGTGTGTCCAACAGAGAGAAGGCAGAAAGCAATAAACGAGCTGAAATGGTGCCATCAGAGCTACATGATTGATCAATTGAATTCCATCATGGGACTGGCCAGTGGGATTAAATGGGTTGCTGTGGGTTACCAGGCTAAAGCATCATACTGCCTTTATCTCTCCCCTGATTGGTCTGTCACCAGAGACCTGAACCGTACACTCTCTCTGCTCACAGCCTCTGTAGATGAGTGTGTGTGCGTGTGTGTGAGACTACAGAAGTGAAAGAGAGATTACGATTGAGGAGGGTGTTTGCGAGAGAGCGGTGAAAGAGGTTTTGTGTACTGGGAATGTGAGTTGGTTAGCTCTGTGTGAATGTGATGGGATCTTAAGATACAAGGTTTACTAAAAGCACCTGCACAAACCCAAACCATGGTTTTCAAAAAGTTTTTCATTTTGTTCACGGCTTTCAACAGACCTCCCACCCTGCTGCAGATAGGCTTTGGTTTTCTCCTTAAATACAAGAAATTATTGAACGAAAAGGCTCTCCTTTATAGAGCGAGAAGCTTGGTCGTCTGAGAGGGGCTTGGAGTAGACCTGCTGCCATATTGAGTAGAGCCAGTTGATCTGATCAGGATGCCTCCTGGACGCCTCCCTGGTGAGGTTTTCTGGACTCGTCCAACCGGGAGGAGACCTAAAGGAAGAGCCAGGATGCGCTGGAGGGACCTGTGTTTCTCGTCTGGCCAGGGAACACCTCGGGATTCCCTCGGAGGAGCTGACCCAAGTGGCTGGGGAGAGGAAAGTCTGGCCCTCACTGCTTAGGCTGCTGCCCCCATGACCCACCTCCGGATAAGCAGAGGGAGATGGAGAAACTGACAGACAGACAGACAGATGAATGGAATGTTTGAAAATAATTTAGATGATGATTGAAATGAAAATATTTGTTTCACTTCACATAATTGAAGTGAAAATAAACGGTCAGTAGGTTTATTTAACACATAAAAACACAAATGTAAGCTTTATCTGACCATTGGGGTTTATTGATGCATAAATTATTTACTGCAAGAATTTCTTGGATCTCTAAAGAGTCATTCTGGTGCAAAACTCAAGCAGGCTTCAAGAGAATTTAAAGCTGAAGAGGCAATAACAGGAAGGAAACATGTGGGAAGTTGAGGTCCAAAGTCCTCGTGTGTGCTTGTTGGCAGGTTTATAAAAAAAAGGTGCATTCATGCTTCAGGACTGTGTTCTTAGAAACAATAACACTGTTTTTAGTTTTAAGAAAGTTAAACTGTGACTTCTTTACTGGTAAACAGGCCAATTACAACACACCGTTGGACTGAAGATGTTGTGTGTTCTAATCTTCAAAGTTTTAGGATGCAAATAAAAGCCAAACTTTGGTCTGAAGGAGAGATTTGTTGGACTAAATGTTTAAACATCCCAGCTCTGTGCAGACACAAACATCGCTGACGTTTGATTGAAAGAACAAGGGAACCGACTGGGGAGACAAAATAAAATAAATAAAAAACCTAAAAATAAGGAAATGTGTTTCAACCTGCGAGAAGCAAGACTCCTCTTCTGATTTGGAACAGCGGCTGTAAAGCCTCAGCTTTTCTTCTTCCTGTCTCGTCTCTCTTCGCCACATTACTCATCTTTATCCGATGACCGAAGCCTGGCACAAATGAATCTATATTTTCAGTCCAAATGAAAAATATATATAGATGTTTGAAGTCCCCCACTCCTCTCCAGCTGTCCGTCACATCGCTACCCTGGACACACACTCCCACACACACACACTAAACACACAGTGACCTCCTGGACTAAAATAGGCTCTCAGGAGCAGTTCGGAGCAATGAATTGGCTCTATATTGGGGGATTTTCACCCTCATCCCCTTTTTCTCTTTATCTTTTTCTCTTATTCCCTCTTTTCTAATCATTTGTGGGCTGCAACTCCTCAGAGTTCTTATAATTGTCTCGTTCGGTCCCTCCGCTCGGCAATAACTGCAGGATACGAGAGCTCACAGTCTAATACTGATGCCAAAGCAATATATATTTGTGTGTATGTGTGTGTGTACGGGTGATACGGCGAGCAAGCCCGGGAATTGTGTTTATATGGGAGGAGAATGTGTACTTCAGAGAGATCAAGAGGGAGAGACACCCTATGCCTGGTAATGGATTGCATTTGTATGCGATTTTCTCAGTTTTCACAATCTATGAAGTCACTCAATCCCGAATCAGTTCACTGGAGTTTTTTCCAAGTCCTCTAACTTCTTTCTCCACATCTGTCGTAGAGATTGTGTTATCACCCCTAGCCACCACTCCCCCCTTCAGTCGTCCTTTCCAATTTCCCTCCATCATTCCTGCAGACTCGATGCTTTTTGCTTTCTTCTAAAAACTCTGGCTGCACACCTCATTTTTCCTCTCTCTGGGCAGGTTTGCAGGAGTCGCCGCTGGCAAATGGACAAGGCCACAGTGGGCGGGACTTCCTCAGGAAGCAGATGAGAGGGGAACTGTTCTCGCCACAGCAGATCGAGGTACTGGACCGCCTCTTTGAAAGACAACCGTCCTTTCCAATCCAATCCAGCACTGAGCTCTATGTGAGCCATGACTCTGGCAAGGTAAGGGCGAGGCATCGTGCAGGCTTTGGGCTGAGTGTTGAGCAATGCTGGAAAGGTTTGACGAGGGGTCACTTTCACACGACAGCTAGATTTTTCTTGTTTAAAAAATATGGTTGAGGCTTATTTAGCAGCTTGAGCGAAACAAGTCAAACCAAAGATTAGGCAGCCAGCAATTATTGTTTCATGTCAACAAGCAAAAAAAATTTTTTTTTTCAAATTTAGTTTTACATAATAAAATTGTGGTCAGTTTGAATTTAAAAATCATTTTAGTGTGATTGTTTCCCTAAAAACCAAGATTTAAAAAAATGAACAAACAAATAAATTATTCCACACATATCTAAATTCATCAGCCTTTTTCCTGTTGTGATGAATAAACCAAGAGACAAGCAATGAACTCACAAGCAAACAAAAATAAAATCAGAAAACACAATTGGACTAATCAGAATTTTTTGTATTCAGCCTTTTTGTTAACAATAACTGAAATCACAGAACGACAGCAGCGTGGTCTTTTTAGTCATTCAGGGAAATGCTGACTCAGCCTGCTTATGCAAATTGTGCGCTGCTTACAGAAGCCTTGGAAAAAATTCTTCCACAAGAAAGAAAAAGGGAATCTTGAAGTGTGCAGATATTTTTATGGTTAGACGAATGATTGTTCAGACGTTAGGGCATCAGTAACATCGGTCCTGGGGCACGCCGACTAATGTCAGTGTTGTTTTAGGTTTGCATTTAGCTATAAAGCCTGCCTGCTATGCCTTGCCATACCATGTCTACATCAGCTTAGCATTTCTCGTCATTATTCCCTCTCATGCGGCTCATTTGCTCACTGTTGTGAAAACGCAAACATTCTGTTTCCTCCTTCTGGCCAGATGCGCTGCAGCGACTTCCTGTTGTCTGATGGACTCATACAAGATCCAGTCAGCCCGTTTTATTGATGTTTCTATAATCTTGACTCACTGCAGGGGCTAATGAGCGTATTGACCCAGCTTTCATTATGACCTCACTTCCTGCTGCTTGGAGGACAGTGATGGAGCTATCTGCATGCTGATGCACTTGGGAATGAGCTGCATGTGTGGGCGCTTGTGAGCAACGGGGATGAGAGAAAGTCTGCCTGCGGGTCTTAATGCTGCCTCTAAATTGACCTTCCGCCCTTTCTCACACCAGTGAATGAATGTAAATCTGAGGAGAATGGACAGGTGTTAGCAGCACTCTGAATAACAACGTGGAAGCAGGCTGATGTTGCTATTCTGTTTGGCTTTTCCCTGGTCTTCTCTACTCTGAGTTTCCCACTCTGCATTACAGAGTTAGCTACTGCCATTTATTTTATCTTGCCTTCTTTTTGTTTCTTGTCATGCATCCGGTTTAGTTCGTCTCCGTCTTCTTGTTCAGACCTTTTCATCTTCTAAGGCCTAGTCCACACGTAGCCGGGTTTTTTTTTAAACGAATATCCGCCCCTCCAAAAACTTGCATCCACACCACCTCGTTTTAAAAATAAAACTCTGTCCACACGTACCCGGATAAATACGTTGTTAAGGACATGCCAGACCTGTAGGCGGCAGTACTTCCCCCGTTCTTAACCTCGTCCTTCGTCTGTGGTCTTCCGCAAGGAGCAGTAATTCTGCTTGCAAAAACAAACAAGCAGAAAGCGCTTGGACAGTTGATAAAGCGAGCGCAGCTCTGAGGGCATCCATGCTGTCGGCTAGTGTAAACACAGGTCGCACACGTGATGTCAGCATTTTTTTGTCGCGGACCTTAAAACTCCGGTTTTGTCTGTCCACACGCAGACACCCAAAACGGAGAAAACGCAGATCTTCACTTTGGCCGGAATTTTTAAAAAGATCCGTTTTCGTGTGAAAAAACTCCGTTTTCGTGTGGATGACAGGCCAAAACGTAGAAAAATATCTACGTTTTGGCAGATCCCCGTCTACGTGTGAACAGGGCCTAAATCTGTCACGAACTCCTCCAGCTGACTGCATTCCGACCATTCCTGCCACCAACGTGGCGGCTGACGTCATCACGCCGACACTACTTAACGAAGTGCCGGTGTTTCATTCATTGCTCAGTCATCGTTCTCACCAGACTTTGTATCGAGTCTCCAGGCTTACCAGCCCTCTAAACCCTCAAGCTAAACCTACAGGCGATAACCGGCGTGGTTATCTCCGTCACTCCGCGTCTGGGCAACAGAACTCTCAGTCACGCTTCAGATCTGCCAACGAACCTGACAAAATCTAACGCACCTTGCTAAGGAGCTAAAGCCTCTGCAACAGAAAACAGCTTTGTGGTCTGTTCAGCTGTGAAATGTGAACTTGTGTCCTCAGTCCTAACATCTGCTGCACATTTAGACAGTCTGAATGGAGAAGAATTAAACAACACTTTGGTGAATCTGTCAGAAACAACTAGAACTTTGATCTTTGACTGTGTTTACAGGGCTGTGGACAGGATGTGTCAATAAAAACATGGTGATTCATCTTTGATTAACAGTAAAGAGCATTTATTAAACATCAAACATGCTGTATGTGATGTCAGCAAAAATAATTTTGGGCAATAAAACCTCACATAGTTTTTATCAAACTAACCCACAATCCTTCAAACAAAACTGGATTTGTTGAGTTTGTTAGGCGTGTGCTTTGTGTGATTTGTGCATATGTTTATGCGTCTCCACACGTATAAAATACTTCTCATCTCAAAAGGGTCCTTCTGTTCCAGTGGTTTTGTCTATTTTTAACTCTATAGAGGCTCACTCATCTAGTCAGTGTCGAGGGCAGAAGTACAATCACACACACCAGAATAGTCTCAGAATATGGAAACACAAACAGGTTGCAGCCTTGGACCTACAGGGCAAGTCTGCCTGTTTAACCCATTCATCTCCAGTTGACCGACATGGGGAGTTCAGTGACACAGAGCGAGAGGTGGACAGGTTGTAGGCTGTTGTAGCTCTATAGACTGAGACTCTAGACCATAATAACCATCATTCCTGGTTCAGTGTTTTCTCTGAGCTCGGTCAAGTCTGCTTTTGGGACAGCAGCTTTGAAATCCGGGTCACGCTGGGGTCAAGCTGCAGTACAAAGAAATCCACACACACACACACACGCACACACCTCCTTCTTTTTAAAAGGGGATGATTGACAGGCACACCCTTAACACTGACAGCTACAGCTCAGCCTCTTTGGTGTGTGTGTGTGCGGGCGTGCGTGCGTGTGTGTGTGCATGCGTGCGTGCGTGTGTGTGGTCAAGGAGGGTCATGTTATAGTGACTAAAGGTGTCGGATACACTTGGCCCGAGTGGTGATGCTGTTATGAAAGAAATTGTGTGCAAAAAAAAAAGGGCAAAGGGTCAATTTCAGTTTTCAATTGATTCCCTCATTTAAGTTCTTTTATTTTTGCTGCATAAGAAATCTGTTTTCATTTCACTTTATCTCCCATAAAAAGCCTCGGACTAAAAGCAAATGCAATTGGAGCCGTCACCATTAGTTACTCTTCTGTTCTTGTTTCAGACCCTTTCTTCATTCCTTTTCCTCAACAAGCCCTTCTTTTATCTTATCTTCCTCTCATGCACCTCTCCCTGTAGTCTATTAAGCCCCCCTAATAATTTATGTGCACGTGCTCCTGTGTGTGTGTGTGAGGAAGCCTGCCAAGGAGAGTTCATTTGAATTTCCCTTTAATCACTTCTTATTACTCAGCTGATAAATCAGAAGAGCCAACACCCCCCTCCCAAACCCATGCTGTTGTCACGTTGGTGTTTGTGTGCTTGACCCAAGACATCTAGAATCGTGTGTGTGTGTGTGGCGGGGTGTTGCAGAACTGGACCTTCAAGTAGATTCTGGATTAGGAGGTCTGGTGTTTTGAAGGTCAAGGAGGAGTGGAGGTCTTACGGTGCTGCTGGGGAGATGGTACGTGGGGAGGTCTGAGGTGGCAGGATCCAAGTGTCCAGTAGGGTCGAGGTAAGGGTTCCAGAGGAGGGTGGATGAGTGGTGGTGAACGGGACTGTGAGGAGTAAGATGCAGGCTGAAGAGAGGTTCAGGAGTATGGCTGAAGGTGTGAGGTTGAGCAGGATCTGAGAAAAACAAGGCGCAAATGTCAGGTAGACTGATCAATAATATGACTAGACTAGACTAGACTAGACTAGACTAGACTAGACTAGACTAGACACTGAGTGGCAGGAGAATATCCAATTGAAGACACCCATGTGGAGTAATCAACCAGCATTGAGCAGTGGTCTCCCTCCTCCTCTTAAGCCGAGGCTGATGATGAATCTGCTGCAGCTGGTCCCGTTCAGACACCGCTCACCTGGAATGAATGCTAGAGGCTGATTAGAGGATGAGCTCACCTCAGACCACGACAGCTGCTCCGGGTCCAAGTGCCCCACCTGAACTCCGAAAAACCCAGACCCACAGAGATCTGTGTTTTTCAGTTCTGTTGATCAGATGTGTTTTTGTCAGAAAGGATTTAATTTTTTTTCTTATTATTCTGAGTCAGTCTGAAAGGGGTGAAACAAAATATCTAGCTTTTTTGTTTATATAGCAAAAAAATGTATTTCAGTAATGGTTGCATAGTTGAGAACTTAACACAGAAAACCTGAAGTTTGGAAGGAAGCTTCTATATCTCTATAACGCAGACATTGTAAATTAAAGTATTTTTATTTTAGCCTTTCATTTTTTTTATCATCAAACATGAGTTTGCCACTTTTTTTCGTCACATTATTTGACATAAAACGAGAGATCTGGGGGAGCAGCAGTAGTTCAGGAGGTGGAGCGGGTGGTCCAGTAATTGGAGGGATGTGAGATCAATCCCGGCCCTTGGCAGAGAGGTCTGCTTTTGTGTCATTGGCCGAGACCCTTAACCCGCTGGTGGTGGTTGGAAGAATTAGTGGCACCATTGCTCAGCAGCCTCATCTCCATCAGCATGCCTCAGGGCAGCTGTGGCTACATTGTAGCTCTCAATACACCAAGTGTGTGTGTGTGTGTGTGTGTGTGTGTGTGTGTGTGTGTGTGTGTGTGTGTGTGT